GCTCCACCCCATTGTGGACCCCACTTTCTGCCTCAGCTATGCTGTCTTCACTCTGTTCCTAGAGCTGTCAACCTTGACAGTATCTCAAGATCATGGCACTGCCAGTCGCTGTGTCTGGAAGACCCTCCTCATACCCACAGGTCCCTCTCTCACCAACTTCAGGTCTCTGCTCAAATGCCCGAGGGGCCCTACTGGACAAAGTGTGATGGTTAGTTGTCTTTTTTTTTTTTTTTTTTTTGGTTTTTACGAGACAGGGTTTCTCTGTATTGTTTTGGAGGCTATTGGTCCAGCCTGGCCTCGAACTCACAGAGATCCGCCTGCCTCTGCCTCCCGAGTGCTGGGATTAAAGGCGTGCGCCACCACCACCCGGCAGTTAGTTGTCTTTTAAAAACTTATTTATTTGTATTTTATGTGCATTGGTGTTTTGCCTGCATGCATGTCTGTCTGTGTTAAGGGGGTCAGGTCCCCTAGTACAGGAGTTCCAGTTGTGAGCCACCACGTGGGTGCTGGGAATTGAACCCAGGTCCTCTGGAAGAGCAGCCAGTACTCAACCACTGAGCCATCTCTCCAGAGTTGACACCAATCTAGAACATCCGGGCAGAGTCTCAGTGAGGAATTCTTGAGATCAGGTCGGCCTGTGGACACATGTGTGGGGAACTGTCTTGATTACACTGATTGACATCGGAAGATCCAGCCAACTGTGAATGCCACCGTTCCCTGGGCTTGAGTCTGGGTGTGTTCAAGAGTAGAGAAAGCAGGCTGGACAGTCAGCACGCATGCATTCACTGCTCTTTACTCTGTGTATGTGAATACCTGCATCCTTGACGTCCCTAACGTGGTGGACCATACCCAAGCAGGCTGGACAGTCAGCACGCATGCATTCACTGCTCTTTACTCTGTGCATGTGATGTGTGTGATGTGTGAATACCTGCGTCCTTGATGTCCCTAACGTGGTGGACCATACCCAAGCAGGCTGGACAGTCAGCACGCATGCATTCACTGCTCTTTACTCTGTGTATGTGATGTGTGTGCTACTTTGAATACCCGAGTCCTTGACATCCCTAACGTGGTGGACCATACCCAAGCAGGCTGGACAGTCAGCACGCATGCATTCACTGCTCTTTACTCTGTGCATGTGATGTGTGTGATGTGTGAATACCTGCGTCCTTGACATCCCTAACGTGGTGGACCATACCCAAGCAGGCTGGACAGTCAGCACGCATGCATTCACTGCTCTTTACTCTGTGCATGTGATGTGTGTGCTACTTTGAATACCCGAGTCCTTGACGTCCCTAACGTGGTGGACCGTACCCTAGGACTGTAAGCAACGCAAACCCTTGCTTCCCTAGGTTGCTGTTTGTTAGTGCTTTATCACAGCTACAGAAGGGAAACGAGGACTCCAGGCCAAGCCATGGACTCTGTGATGGCCCCTCCACCAGCCTCCTGGCGTCTTTAGAGTTCTTCACTGACACGGTGTGACATATGCAGTTAGTTGGGCTGGGAAGCAGGAGAGTTCCCCGAGTGCCCTGCTTGTAGAAAGCACTGGAAACAGGATGCCATTTCCCAAGTCTCTGTGCACAGAGACCTTCGCTCTCTGTCATCGGTGCCTGTGACAGGTGCCTGCCTCCCTCATGAGTCCGGCTGCAGCCCATGCCGGGGAACTGCTCCTCATGGTCCCCCAGGGCTGCCTGTCCTAGCAAGCAGCATATGTCAACTCCTGCAAGCCTTATCCACTCCTTTGGTGACACGGTTTCAATTCTGCCAGGGTACCCTGGGGTCCCTGGACATGGTGAACGAAGTTGGAGAATGAAACAGCTTGGAGTCCCTGGGCAGTCCCAGCTGTCTGGTGTCTGAGACGGCCCTCCACAAGCTGTGGCCACAATGGCACTCACTTTGGAGTCTGTGAGAAACAGGAGGGGTGGGAATCTGGAGGTGTTGCCTGAAGGCCCCCTGAATCTCTCACGGCCTCTGGTTGGTGGCTCACCAAGATGGATGGAGCGCCCTGTGCCTGCCTGGGACCCCTATTGCTCAACCACACATCTGCTTGCAGATCTGGAGTTTGTAGGGGGCTCTTGATGTCTCCAGCTGTGTGTGCCTGAGGCAGGAGGATGGTTTCCTGCAGTTACGGCTTCTTTTTTCCCCATCTCACTACAGACCTCTGTGTCCCTCAGGTCAGGCCTAGGGTCCTCGTTTCATTTCTCACCCCCACGTTCTCCATCCAAAGTCCTCTTGGCCATGTCCCATCTGAGGCCAAATCTTACGACCTGGGTCTAAGCCCATCTTTGCCTGCACCATTGCGGTAGGCTCTTCATCCAGCGGCCTCCTCTCCTCACCTCACATTTCCCCAAATCCACAAAACAGCTAGTGTTTTGCTTTGTTTTGAGACAGAGTCTCAAGTGGTCCAGGCCGGCCTTGACCTGCTGTGTAGTTGAGAATGACCTCGAACTTCTGATCCTCCTGCCTCTAAGTCTCAAATGTTGGGATTATAAGCATGTGACACCATGCACAATTTATATAGTGCTGGGTCTCGAACCCAGGGCTTTGGGCATGCCAGGCAAGTTCTCTACCAATCAAACAGTCCCTATTCTCAGTTTGGCCTTTTTTCATGAGAACCACAGGAGATAGACTTTTCCGCCCTGCGTCTTCTAGCCCCATGCTGGATTCAGTGGTTAGGACCAGTCAGTGTCTAGAACGTGTCCCTTCTCTCTGAGCCCAGATCACCTCTCCCTCCTCACCCCAGGGCCTTTGCACGTGCTGTCTGCCTCCACTGCTCTCCCTGGCTGACTGTCGTCACCTGGCCTTGTACAGGGCTCCTCATGCCCTGGATGATTCTTCACTCTCTGGCCCATAGCTTGGTGTCACTATTGCAAATCAGTGATGCCCTGAGCTGACCTGGCCTATGCGTGGACCTTTTCCTACCTCACACACAGCTTAGTCCTCAGGGCTGTCCCAGGACAAACAGAAATGTCCTTTCATGCCCAGATTGACTGAGGTCGCCTTCAGCTCTTACTCTGTTTTAAATGCCCGTGATTACAGTTTGTAGCCATGGAGTCTACTTGAGTCCCATGATTCCTTCAGCTCAGAGCCCTCTTCCCCTTGAGCAGAGCTGTTCACCGATCACGAGGAAGGATAACTCTACTTCCCTCCTTGCTTTGTCTTCCAAGAGGCTTGTAGACCAATTTTAAACTCGACTGCAGTTATTAGCTTGAGTCAGGCATTTTTTGTAGAGCTCTTTACCCTCATCCAGAACACAGCCTTCTATCCCTTGGTTTTGTTCCTACAGTTTTATCCTACTTTATTTTAATTTTTAGAACTTCCTTTCTTTAACTTTAAAATTTTATTGTTGTTGCTATTATTGTATGTGTGTGCACACATGTGAGGCAAGTGCGCCTATGTGCCACAGTGTGTGTTTGTGTGTGTGCGTGTGTGTGCATGTGCCACAGTATGTGTTTGTGTGTGTGTGCATGTGTGCATGTGCCACAGTGTGTGTGTGAGTGTGTGTGTGTGTGTGCATGTGCCACAGTGTGTGTGTGAGTGTGTGTGTGTGAGTGCGCATGTGCCACAGTGTGTGTGTGTGAGTGTGTGTGTGCATGTGCCACAGTGTGTGTGTGAGTGTGTGTGTGTGTGCGCATGTGCCACAGTGTGTGTGTTTGTGTGTGTGTGAGTGCGCATGTGCCACAGTGTGTGTGTGAGTGTGTGCGCATGTGCCACAGTGTGTGTGTGAGTGTGTGTGTGCATGTGCCACAGTGTGTGTGTGAGTGTGTGTGCATGTGCCACAGTGTGTGTGTGAGTGTGTGCATGTGCCACAGTGTGTGTGTGAGTGTGCATGTGCCACAGTGTGTGAGTGTGTGTGTGTGCATGTGCCACAGTGTGTGTGTGTCTGTGTGTGTGTGTATGTGTGTGTGTGTGTATGTGTGGTGAGAGGACGTCTTTGTGGAGTTCAGTCTCTCTTTTCACCTCCATGTTGGTTGCGGGGCCAAACTTAGGACCCTGTGTTTGTGCAGCAAACACCTTTCCTTTCTGAGCCATCTGGCTGGCTGCAGGAGTTCTATTTAAGTTGGTTTTTCTTTTGAATTTATCCCCAAATCTTTCAACACAGATTAGGTCTAAACAAATGAGTTAAGCTGTGTCCGAAACACTGCTTCCTGCCATTTTTCCTTGCATCTTAGGAGTTTAAGGGTTCAGGAGCAAACCCACTAAGTATATCCTCTCTCTCTCTCTCTCTCTCTCTCTCTCTCTCTCTCTCTCTCTCCCATTTGTCCAAGGAATGTAAACTTTTTTTTGAAAAGCTTCCAGCCTGGCCCACTGCTAATTATTGTTGCCCCAAGAGGCTCTGCACTTGTCTGCCTTGATGCACACACTAAATAAAGGCATTTCAGAAGGAAGAAGAGGCCATCAGTTTTTACTGGGTTAGCAGAACCACCATCCCATGTGACTGGAGCAGGGACAGATGAGGGCCAGAAAGCTCACCCTGACAAGAGTGTCCCCCAAAAGGACACCAACTACAGTTTGGCACTTTCCCGGGAGTCCTTAGTGATTGGAGTCTAAAAGAAACGGGGGACCTGGAAGGTGGTTCAGGGCTTGAGTGCTCTGCTTCCCAGGGACCCCCAGAGTCTGCCCCCCAGAACCCACATCAATGCAGCTCTCAATTGCCTGTCCTCCAGCTTTAGGGGATCCCATGGCCTCTTCTAGCCTCTGAGGGCATCTACACTTATGCACACACACATAAGTAATAAAAATAAAGTCTTTAAAAGAAAAGGAGCCAGGTAGTGGTGGTGGTGCATGCCTTTGATCCCAGAACTCAGGAGGCAGAGGCAGTCAGATCTGTGAGTTCGAGGCCAGCCTGATCTACAGAGCTAGTTCCAGGACATCCAGGGCTACACAGAGAAATACTGTCTCAAAACACAAAAACAAACAAACAAACAAAAAAAGGAAAACAATTCTAACACAGATAGCACCCCTGCCCCCAGTAACCGTGAAAGCGAGCATTGTGTGCTGACCTCCAGGTCATTGAAGAACAGGTGTGTGTCAGCGAGGTTGAAGATCATCTCCTCCATCATCAGGCCGATGCGCACTGACGTCGTAGTGTCCTGTGGGAAAGGGAAGGGACAGTTTAACTCCAACTTGGCCTCGGGTCTCGGCCCAAGCCCCCCCCTCCCCCAGCCCTGCCTGCTCTGGAAGTCAGCTGGAGTCCATGTTCTTCTGAACGGCTCACAACGTGTGTGTGGCTGAGAACATGGCCTGGGGGGGAGAGTGGCTCGTCTACACCAGGAGAGAAGAGGCGGACATGAGAAATGGCCACCACTCCACAATGACAGCTACAAGCAATAACCACAAGGAGGACGGAAGCAACTTGTCCCGCATAAGGAGCGAACCACAGTGCTCATTCCCCCGCCCCACTGTGTGTAACACGGTTGGCTGCTGTAATGGTTCCTCTGCACTGTCAACTTGACTGGACATAGGGTTACCATGGAAACCACCTCTGGGTGTGCCTAGGACGATGTGTCCAGAAAGGTTTGCAAGCTGGAAAGACACAGTTGGGTGTGCACACAGCATCATTGCCTGGGCTGGGGTCCCAGACCAAAGAAAAAGGAAAAACGAGACATGGAGCTGAGCAGAGCCTCTCTCTCTCTCTCTCTCTCTCTCTCTCTCTCTCTCTCTCTCTCTCTCTCTCTCTCTCTCTCTCTCTCTCTCTCTCTCTCTCTCTCTCTCTCTCTCTCTCTCTCTCTGCTTCCTGACAGGATGTGTGTGTGTGTGTGTGTGTGTGATGGGGGAGGGGCGACCCCCACTGTAACCAAACCAGCTGCCTTAGGCACCTTCTGCTCTTCCTCTCCTAAGAGACCATGGAACAAATAGACCCTAAACGCTTCCTTCCTTGGGTTGTTTTTGTCAGGAATTTTTCCCCCTTCAAGACAGGGTTTCTCTGTGTAGCCCTGGCTGTCCTGGAACTCATCTATAGACCAGGCTGGCCTGGCACTCACAGAGGTTCGTCTGTCTCTGCTTCTGGGATTAAAGACCTGTGCCACCACTGCCTGACCTTTAGTCAGTGATTTTGTGGCATGAACGAGGAAAGTAACTAACACTAGGCTTTGCCCCCCCCAGTCACCTCTCCCAGATGACGACACATTCGGGTGGACAGAGAGCGTGGCCAGTGCTCCGTTTTGTCTGGCTTGTGAGGTAAGTATGTTTTTTACATTTTTTTTTTCTTTTTGAAACAATGCTTGATTCTGAACTGTCCCCACAGGTTCGGGTGGTGATGTTTTGGGAGGTTCTGGAAACTTCATCGAGCGGGGGAAGGTAGGCTCCTGGGAGGAGGGGGCCCTTAAGGGCTGTGTCCTGTCTTAGATACGTCTTTGTCTTCCCTGCATCTCTCCCCGCCCTCTTTGCTCCCTCATGATGTGAACAGCCTTCTCCTCAAACTCCTGCTTCCATGACCCTCTGTCCAACGGTGCGGGACCAAGCCACCATGGGCCAAACCCTCTGGAACGTGAGAGCAAAGTCAATCTTTTCTTTTTAAAGTTGTCTTACCAGGTGCTTGGGGCAGAGCTACACAAAAGCTAACAGTGTTTCAGTCTGTGAAGAAGAGGAGGCTTGCGCTCCTGTACAGTGCTTGTGTGTCCCGAAAGCCCCATCTGGGCCTTTAGAAAATGCATCCTGAGGACTCGGGTGTTTCATGTAGCAGAAGTTCAGTCGGGAGCTGTGAGAGCTCCTGCAGCCTCCTACACTTGCTCTGTTCACAGATCTTTTCACGCCCCAGATGAACTGATGTCTGGGCTCCAAGATAAAGATATCATGGGTCAGACTTGCAGGTTTGAAGTGTGTACTGGTTCGTTTTTATTGTCAACTAGACAAAACCGAGAGTCACCTGGAATGAGGGGACCTCAGCTGAGGAATTGTCTCGGTGGGATCGGCTTTTGGCCATATCTGGGAGAGACTGTGTGACTGATGATTGGCATGTGGAGGCCCCGCCCACTGTGGGAGGCACCATCCTCTGGCAAGTGGGTCCCAGCGGTGTGAGAAAGCTAGCTGGGCGTGAGCCAGTGATCCAGTGAGCGGTATTCCGTCACCATTCCTGCCTCCAGGTTCCTGCCCTGACTTCTTTCAGGGAGTGACTGTGATCTGGAGGCATAAGCCAAATAAACGCTTCCCTTCCCTAAATTGTGTTTGTCATGTAATTTATCACAGCAACAGAAACCAGACTAGAACAAACCACAAATGACAAGTGGACCCAGGGCTGGGCACACGGCTCAGAAGTGAAGGACTTGCCATGCAACCTTCAGGATCTGAGTTTAGGCCTCAGAATGCACATAAAAATCCCAGTGTGGTGCAGACTTCTAATCCCAGTGTTGGGGACACAGGCAGGTGGGCGTCTGTGGCCAGACAGCCCAATCGCTGAGCTCTAGGCCAGTGAGACCCTGCCTCAAGCCAAGGTAAATAGTGCCTGAGTAATGACAGCATAGGTTATCCCACAGCCTCCATGTACACATGCACCTATGTCCATGAGTACCAGCATGCACATACATGTACACACGTGTAACAATACATTCATGAACTCCTGTTATAAATGAATAATTCCCAAAACAAACCCCTTTTGACATAAAGAAAACAAAATAAAAAATAATGAAACAAACAACAAAAAAGGAAAGAACAAATGAAGGAAGTGCAGCTGCTGATCTTGGCTTCACACACATACACACATGCACACATACACACATGCACACATACATACATGCACATACACACACACATGCACACACATACACACATACACACATACACACATGCACACATACATACACAATACACATACACATACACACACATATACACATGCACACATACATACACAATACACATACACATACACACACATACACACACACATACACACATGCACACATACATACACAATACACATATACATACATACACAATACACATACATATACATACACACATGCACACACATACACACAAGCACACACATCACACATGCACACACACATACACACACAAACACACATACACACATACACAAAACACACAAACACACATAATACACATACAAACACACACATGCACACACATACACACACATATACACATACACACATACATACACATACACAAAACACACAAACATACACACATATACACATACACACATACACAGACAAACACACATAAATACACACACACACAAGTACTCACGCATGCGTGCCTATAGAGAGCCTTTGGCCAAACACCTCACCAGGGCTTCAGAGCCTCCTATTCAGGGTCCTGGCCAGGAGGTGGCAGACAGGGACTCTGTAACTGGAGAAGGCATGGTCAGCTCTGCGCCACTGTGCGCCCCCTGTGACTGCTGTGCACCTGAGTACCTGAGTGTGAGGGTGGCTCTCTTCCGCAGGAGAGGAGAGGAGAACTGCCATGTAGGCCCCAAAGGACTTACCAGAAAAACACAACAAGACAATCACTGTGTGAAAACCACTGGGGAGGTATGTGTATAGTTACCAGAGAGCAAATGGAAGAGAGGATTGAAGCAGAGATCACCACTGGCTGATCACCACACAAAGGTGAGAGATGGAACCTTCTTTCTGCTTTTGACAGGGCCTCGGATAGCCCAGGCTGGCCTCACACTTACTATGTAGCTAAGGCTGGTCTTCCTCTTCCCCCTATGTGCTAGGATTACAGACATGTGCTGCCGTAGTTGGCCTTTTGTTATGTAATTATTCTTTTGGTGCTGGGGGGGGGGGGGGGAACTCAGGGCCTTTGCAACGCCAGGCAAGTGTCCACCATTGGGCTATGGCCCTAGCCTGAGAACTCTCTCTCCTCCCTCCCTCCCTCCCTCCCCCCCTCTCTCTCTTTCTCTCTCTCTCTCTCTTTCTCTCTCTCTCTCTCTTTGAGACAGGGTTTCTCTGTGTAGCCCAAGCTGACCTGGAACTTGCTCTGTAGACCAGGCTGGCCTCCAACTCACAGAGATCCGCCTGCCTCTGCCTCCTGAGTGCTGGGACTAAAGGCGTGTGCCACCAACGCCCAGCGTACTTTGCTTTTTTAACCCAGGAGAAAAATTCTTACTCACTGCTGTGTTTGAATGTGAAACCCCCCCACAGGCTCCAGTGTTTGGACATTTGGTACCCAGTTGATGGTACCATTTTAGAAGGTTGTAGAACAGAATTGGGTCATTGGAGGTGGGTCTTAAGGTTACCTCACTTCCTGTCAGGTATTTGCCTTCTGATTGAGGATGCCATATGGCCGTCCACCTCAGGCTCCTGCTTCCACACCTTGCTGGCCACCACAGGCTGTGTTCCCCTTAAACTGTGAGCCAAAGAGACCCCCTTCCTTCCCTGAGTTGCTTTTATTTTTTAATCAGGCATTTGGTCACAGCCAGGACAAAGGCTACCAATACACTCACAAACAAGGGAACCTCCCGAGGGATGTTCCGTACAGAACTGATGGTGAGTTGCAAATGACTGGACCTAACTCAGCCTTCTAGCTGAAGAAGACAAAAAGCAAGATGAAAAACGAAATCTCAGCAGAAAGAAGTCTACCAGGCTCTTTGTGTTAATACGACTACTTAAATATGTTGAGGGGTCAGGAGATGGCTCAGTCTGTAAGTCCCGGTCATATAAGCATGAAGACCTGAGTTTGGAACCCTAGCACCCTCTGTAACCCCAGTGCTGGAGGTGGGCCAGAGACAGGTGGCTTTCTGAGGCTCAGTGGTGGCCAACAGCGTACATGTACATTCACACATGACTTTATGTATGTATTATATATATAGAACCATATATATGTACATACATCCCTTCACAGACATACCTGCACACACTTAACATTTTTTTAAAAGAATGGATAAGAAAAAAAAAGGATGGATAAGCAAAGACAAAGCCAGAATTCAGTTGTGAGAGCTGGGGGAGAGCTCCCACACGCCTCCTGCAGCCCACGGGGTGATTCCCAAACATCCTCCATGACACACCAGTCTGCTCTGCTGGCTTCAATCCCACAAGCAGCAGTGTGACCCAATCAAGTGCTTGGTGGCTCTCTCCCCATACTTTCAGATCCACACTGAGCCTTGCATCAGCCGATGGTGCAC